ATATGAAAGTTTGAAAAGGCCAAAAGGCCAGTTTGATATGAAAGTTTGAAAATGCCAAAGGCCAGTTTGACATGAATGAATTGGGCTTAAGGCCGTCTGTCATATAATGTTCCAATGTATCTTCTTTATTTAATATTATTCACTGGGTTATCGCTTACGCTCATTCATGTGTTTGTAGGTGAGCCAAAAGAAGTCCAGACCAAGCCTCAGTGAAGTCTGTGTGAAACAATCAAGGTTTTTGGAGAGTCAGCCCTCGCGTCTCACACACGAGACTTGTCTTCGCCCTTTTGTTATGTATTTATGTTTTGTCATGTTGGTGAAGACTTTGAGTCTGTTGTATATAGTTTTCATGGGTTGACTTAGATTTGAATGATCATGTCTGTACAGAACCTTATGCTACTATACTTTCTGTTGTGAGTTATTAACATTTGTAAATGTGGAATGTCATGATGTGCATATAAGCACGGCTCTATGGACAGAGTTTTAAGTTTGCTTCCGTTTGGCCTCTTTACTCTGATGACTTTTGTCTATTTTGGTTAGAGGCCGTAGGTAATCTCAGGATTACTGGCCGGTTACGTCCTTAACCTATGGGGCAGGTTTGGGTCATGACAGGAACCGTCCAAGACCTTCCAGTAATCATACACCAAGCAGTAAAACACACCCACACTCAAGGAGACACCATATTTAACATGGTTCGGCCTCAATGCCTATGTCCACGGGAGAGGAACCGGTTATCACTATAACAATGGAGAGATTACAGAAAGATTATAATAGAGGAGGAGCTCACACTCTCCTTACTCACCCACTCACCCGTCTCCCTCGCTCACATCGAGAGAGACGGTCTCTCCGCCTTACATCTCTCACTCTCTTTGGTTTGCTCTATATTTTTCTCACTCTCAATTCAACCCCTCCTCATCATTTTTACAACAATGAGGAAGAGACACTTGGCTCTTACCGTCTCCCTCTCTGAACAATGTACAGCTTAAAGGGTAGAGGTGAAGGTCATCATCTGAAGGGAACTCCTAGTTGCCCGAGACGATGAAATAATCGTCTCTGGCGCCCTTGTTGGAATCAGGGAGGTCGGCGATGAGTTTGTATTCCGTCGACCTCGGCTTAAGGTAGTAAATGTAGCCTTTTCTGACTTAAGGCCACACATGGTGTAGCAGTACTAGATGTCGGCTAGAGTTACCCTAGCATTTTCTCGACTAGCTAAGGCAATGATGCCGTTGATGACTCTGTAAGAGTTAATGGCTAATTGCATTGGGTTAAGTTTATAATAATGAAGGACTTCTCAGAAGAGGATGTCAAGAGGAAGCCTAACACCACACTCTATAAAGGCTACTACTGGGAAAGGCATGGAGTCGTCTTTGGGCATGATGGAGTCCTCCTCCCCAGCCAACCTGAGATGAACATCGGCAGGATGGCAAACTCCTACCTAAAGTATTCTAGCTTAGTTGGGGTGTCTACCCTCCACCTAAACATACCATAACGTCGGCTAAGTGGGGAAGATGTTGGATTTCAGAAAGAAGTGGTTTTGTTAAGGTTTAAGGAACCTCGGCTTAAACTCAGAACAGAAGCAGGGGCTAGGGCTTTTTAAAGATCTAGGGAAATTTGTTCCAATTTTCTTAGGGATATTGGCTTCTATCAAAACGCAAGCCTAAAATCTATGTGGAAACAGGAAATTGAAGGTAAAAATTTGGCAAAATGCAACAAGAAAACAGAAACAAGAACATGATTTAGACTCAAGAAGACAAACAAGAATTCAAGAACATTTTTCAAAAAAATATATATATATACAGATATACAAAGCCAAAGACAGTGGCAGAATACCAAATATTTGTATTTGGTTTAGAACCCAAAAAGCAAAAATCAAGAACATCAAAAGTGTGAACAGCATGTGAGTGTGTGTGTATACCCAAAAACAGATGAAACAGAACGTATTTAAGCATACGAAGGGTGAAATTTAAAACACAGACAAAGACATGAGAATATGAATGTATTCATCATGACGAATAAGTAGAGGCAACAGAGCATGAAACTAAAGAATGGGGAAAATAGTAACTCACCGAAGAAAATGAAGCCGATGTGAAGTACTCCGGGGTCAGACAATGGTAGCAAATGGAGAAGAGCAGCAAAAACTTCGCCGGAGGAGGTGAACGGAGTGATTGCAGAGCTTGAGAGCTTGAAACAATGGAGGATTTGGAAAAGTAAAGAGAGAGAACTTGAGCGAAGAAGAATATACGAAAGTGAAACGGGGAAGAGAGAGGGAAGTGTTTTTGATCAAAACACGAAAAGGCAGTAAAAACGCAATTAGTGTGCCTAGGACGATGTGTCTGTCAGGTGGCGCACGCAAATACGACGTGACTTGATGGCGCGTGTCAAGTACGGTTCAATAGGGACGAGACGCGTGGCAAAAACAGTTGAGTTGCAGTGCATAACAGCTCATACGCGTGTAGAAACTCTTGGAGTTCTTGATTTAATGAAGCAAAGAACTTGGCTAGGGGGACGATCTCGGTTAAAGAAACTTGAAAAAACTCAGTTCCTGGTTCTAAGGCATTGATGCAAACAGACTACAAGTTTTGGTCATATGGAGCCGATGTGTGATAACCTCGATAATGAAGGATAGAGCAAGCTTAGCCGACGTGCTGAGGGTTCAAATGATATAGGTTTCATCACCTCAGGATGCCGAGGTAATAGAACCTAGGGGGCAGTTGTGGGGACATATTTTTTGGATAGCAACACATGGTCAAGGTGGTGCCGAAGTACCAGCCGAGGTGCCACGTGTCCTTGACTTAACGCCGAGGTAATCTCAGCTAGGGCAAGGTTACCTACGAAGATAGTAGAATCCAAGATGAGTGGATAAGGGACAAGAGTCTTAGAATGGGAGAGGACCTCAGCCAGGATAAGGATAAAGCTCTTAGGCCTCGTTTGTGTTCCTCTTTCACAGTCCGGAGTGGACTGTGAATGATGAACAATGCACATACCTCATGTTTGTTTTGATAATGTTGCACCGGATTCATAGTCTGAACGAACTATGAATCCCCTCAAACCAACGGATTAACAATCCCTCGTGGGACTTGGTATTAAAAAAAGAAGCCATTGAGATTATAATGTAAATGACCATATTATCCACCATATCATCACATAAAAAAAATAGATCCCTCCTCCAAATTTTTAACCACACTTAGAAACAATCAATAATTTCCAAATTCGGTTTTCTCACCAACCAAACAGAAGTGTAGACAAATTACAAATTAGATCAGTAAAATTGAAGATGATGCTCCGATCTTCAACTAAATCAGACAAAAGAGATACAAATCAAAGACATATATGATATACAAAATTGAAATTTGCAAGAAAAACAAACTCGCATTCACGGTGACGATCAACATCATCGTCATTGTTGACGGTGATGATCCGCGTCGTTGTAGTGAATGACAGTGATGATCGGCGTCATTGCGTCGTCGTCGTCGTTTACAGTGAAGATCGGCGTCATCGTCGTCGTTGCGGTGCTGATGGATGAAGGCAAAACGAAGCTCTGTTTTTTTTTCTTTTAACAGAGTAGGCAAAGTGATGATGAATGAACCAATAAGTGAATTAAAGCACTTCAATACACACTATTTAAAGCCATGAACTGGTTTGGAAAACCATGGGCTGGATTTGTTTTCTTTTGATTCTCTAATTATTACATAAATATGTTATTTAATATAATAATATTTTTATAAAAATAATTTCTCCCAATAATATTTTTATAAGGCATAATTTTTAATATTAAAATATATCATAATAAATGTCAAAATAAAATTATTATAATTTATTAAAATTATTATAATTTAATATAATAATAATATAATAATATAATAATTTATTAAAATATATTATAAATAATTCTTTTGATTCTCTATTATTATTCAATTTTCATAATAATGTAACAAGGTATTTATGGAATTTTACTAGTTAATCCTACTCTTATCTCTCAAAACAAATAGGAATTATTGCTAGTCCACTAGTTATCAAACAAACATAAATTTTCTAGTCCCTTCACTAAGAGTCTTCTCACTAATAATCCTACTGAATCTACCTCTGAAGACAAATGAACCCTTAGGGGGGTTATCTTTATATATTGAAGAGTCTAAAATAGGCATTGAGCCAGAGTCTAAGAGAAGCTAGATTTCTACAGGGATCAGGTTAGTGCTGACTATAAAAGTAAGGCACACTCATGGGTCTAAGGTACGCTTATTGCATTCTGAATAGTGAGTTAAGCACTTTTGCTATCTTTGAGAGATAACTGACTTGATCATCGGAGTGCCCCTAGGTGAACGAACCACCGCCGGAATCTTATCTTTTTGTGACAGGTCATTCGGGCGCAATCTATTCTACCGATGTTCTCCAACTGAGTACCTGATTGACAGTGTGGTTAGAAAACAACACACACAAGACCGTTCATTTTTTTAGAAATAAATGTGATAAAATAAAAAGTTATCACGATTATCTAATTAATTGAATTTTTTTTGTGAATGATAAATATAATTTTTTTTACAAAATGAACTTTTTGAATCATCTAAATAAGACCTGTTGTGGGTCTTATGAACCCAAACAACACAAATAGAGTTGAAATTCTCATCTTAGGAGAAGCCAATCCTATTTCTCAACCAATCATTATTTGTAAATGTTTGAGATGTTCTAAATAAGTATATTTTTTAACTTTTTATAAAAAAAAATGTAAAAAAGTAGAGAAAGTGGATAAAAAAGTAGAGAGAAGATATTGACAGATATTGATGTGACCCAAATAAGTGTTTGTATGCAAAAAAAAAATGTATTTTTTTAGTGCATGCCAAACAAGCACTTAGTCAAAATCACAATCAGTAGTTATTGGTTTGATTTTTCAAAAATATTTTAAAAAAAAAAAAAAAATTAAAAAAAAAAAAAAAACTTAATTTAAAAAAAATAAATATCAAACATTATACCTCTAAATTTTTAAAAATTAAACGTAAGTGCTTGTTTCAATATTTTACAAAGGCAAAGTTACGTAGTACTAATTTATCTTTCTGTCTTCGCAGATCCAAATCTATCTGCAATTCCCAATCGAATTCTTCAATTCAATACTTCAGATCTTTATTATATACATAGACATTGTATATCACCTGTGATTGATTGAGTTTTTTTGATTGTTCGTCTTCACAATCGGATGTGATTGAGGTAACACGAACCTTCAAAACAGACCCAATCATGAATCCCTTCTCGTCCGTTACGCGACTAAGGTTAGCACAAATCTTGCTCCACATTGTTGATTATACATATATGCATGAGAACAAGTATGAAAATTTTGAGTTATGGTGTCATTTCGTGATCGAAGTAGGTGGAATTTCGAATTTAGGTGGAAAACTAATGGAATTGATGGGATTTGATATTAGAATTGTTGAAATTGAAGACATTATGTCCAAAAGTAGATTTAAACGTGTGCGCGTTTGTGTAATTGTATGGGGAGGAAACTTGGAATGCATTTGTTGTAAGGAATTAGCATAACGTGTGAGATTATAGTGTATCATTGCAAAAATATGAATTTGATTTTTTTTTATATCTCAATCTTTTGGGGGGTTTGTGCATTCAATTGGTTATATGTGTATATATATATATGGGAAATGCTACAATGTGCACTTGAACATTTTAAGAAAAGTTACGATTTTTGTGATAAAAGTTATGAATTTTTTTATGATGAAAGTTCCAATTTTTGTGATGAAAGTTATGAATGATGAAGTTATGATGTGCAGCTAAAAAGTTATGTATAACTAAAGTTATACTTTTTGTGATAAAAGTTATATATTTTGTGAGAAGCAAAAAGTTGTGATAAAAGTTATGCTTTTTGAATAAGGTGCACACACATACACCCAAAAAGGGGTGCCCATGTAGCCTTTCCCTATATATATATATTTTGTGTTTTAAAGTTTGGGTTGCAAATTGCAATTTCATTTTGTAGTGGAAATGTGTTTTTATTCTTCTTGCTATGCTCATAAGAAATATACAACTTTTGAAATAAAATTACCAAAACAAGGAAACAACAAAAACAAAGTTACTGACAATGGCAACAACTAAACATTATGGTGCATACTCATAACATTAACAACACAAGTAAGAATATTTAGTATCAACTAGTGTATCTGCTATATGTAGCCCTTAATTGGGTAGCATCAGATCTAGTACTGATGCGGACAGAAAAGGTGTTGGGTTTTTCTACTTGATATCCCTAATTTTGTGTATATTCTTTTTTTTTTCTTCTTCTTGTTTCATTTCATTTGATATTACAAACTTTAGCTAGTTGCCTTGGAGACTGAACGACCTGATTTGATTATTTTATAGATGAGGAAAGGTTCCGAATCTCCCGTTGTCATTTCTTTCAATGTACTAGCTTAACATTGTCTCTTGTTCTTTAGCTATTTAGTATGTAACTTAGCCCCTGTTTGGCATTTCTTGTGGGGCTAAATAATCACATATGGACAAAAAAAACCTACAAAATCATAAAATGCCAAAACACTGGAGTTGGGATGCAAAATTACCAAATTGTCCCATATACAAACAAAAAGTCAAAAAAACATCATTTCCAAGTGGAGGGCAATTTTGTCATTTCACTTTGGGAATACCATTTCCAATGCAAAAAAGCCAAACAAGAAGACCAAACAAACAAAAAAAGTCTCAGGCTAAAAAAGTCAAAAAAGCCAAAAAGCCAACTAAAAAAGTTCTTGCCAAACGAACCCCTGTACATGTTAAGGCAAAGGTCATATTCAGCTAATATTGGCATGTGTTTTGTATGCCTTGGAGGTTGGCATGCATATAAAAATTGTTTTGATTTTTCATAGGCCTCCTAGCAAACATGAAATGAATGAGGAAGAGAATTGAGGAAACTAGATGAAGCATGCCTACTTAAGTTTAGAATCCCTGCCTGTAACAAGTTGCAAAAATTATTTTTCACGATTGGCTCTTTACGGAGTTAGCCTTGAAAGGGTGCTTTAAAGTGATATAGTGGAAGGTTCCTTATTCTTAACTGCCATTTTTGCAATACTCGGCAGTTCCGTTTTAAGTCTCATAAGTTCTAACATAACATTCTTAGATTTACTCATATGCCTAAGACTATTTTGTATAGAGGTGAGTTCCCTCCAGTCTAGACTAGAGGACGTTGTTTGGCCACACCACAGGTCCCCTTTCGATTATTAGAACTGTTCATTTTGTTGGAAATTTTGTATCTTTTATCCACAAAAAAAGGTAAATCCGATAATCGGAGCGTATTTAATTTGTCGCGTTTGTCAGCAAAAAAGTAGACGACAATTGTATTTTTTTAAATAAACCATTTATTTTTTTGGTGATAAACACGATAAAATAAATAGGTTACGATTATCAGATCGACTTAATTTTTTGTGTGGATAAAATACTCGAAGTGCTTGACAAAATGAAGGTTCAAATTATTTAAACAAAACCTGTGATGGGCCTCAAGAGCCCAAACAGCGCTCTTGCGTCTAGGTTATGAACTGGGGCAATCTGCTTCCATTTTGTATATTGTAAAATTATTAAATGAGAATGTTTATAAAAAAATAAAAATAAAAAATTATTAAATGAGAATGAGTTGTGATATATAGTTGGTTAGTACTTGGCATGATATATCCTTCTTGCATTTGGCATGTAATGAAATAATATGATGCTTTCATCTCCCTTAGTTGGGCTTTGTCCCAATTAACCTTTTTGTCTCGTTTTCATTTTCAATTTCCATCTATAAAGAGTCAGATATATCTCATTTTGCAGGTAAGTGATATCTTTCCATGAAAAGTGTTTTTTTTTTTCTCCCTCATGCAACATTTTCTCTTCTTCTCTCCATCTCACTGCTTTGAACTTCAAAATCCCCTTTTAATCCTCCAGCTTTTTGCCCAAAACAAAGTCATGGACTTGCGAGAAATGGATTGAACATTGCCACTCATTCAACTTGCTGATGAAATCACTATCATGAAATAGCATATTCCAACTTGAAAGGATCCTTATTATTATTATTATTATTATTATTATTATTATTATTACATGGACTTGCGAGAAATGGATTGAACATTGCCACTCATTGAACTTGCTGATGAAATCACTATCATGAAATAGCATATTCCAACTTGAAAGGATCCTTATTATTATTATTATTATTATTATTATTATTATTGACTGATATGAGATGGATAGTGATTGGGACACGTACACTGAAGACTTATAGATGCAATGATACCATAAATGGAGATGTTAGGGGAGTTGAAGACCTAAGCTGACTAGGATGCACCAATGAAAAAATATATGATTTATTTGATTTAATTGAGCATATAGGCCTTGGTAGAGCTGAATGGTGAAAAATGATTCATGTAGCCGACCCCACTTGATGGGAACATAAGGCTTGGTTTGGTTTGGTACTCTTAACCTATAGTCTATGTTTGATTTTTGTATTATTTTGGAGGGGATTGAATATCATAGGATAAGAGGAGGTAAGTAATACCATAGAATAATGGATGAGATTTTATGTACCATCGGATTAGTTATATTATGTTTAGTTAGGGTAGGATAATGAGACATGATTATTTTTTACTATTGGACGAGAAGGAAGGACAATCTGGAGAGGAGTGATGAACTAATCTGGGAGATAAGAGTTGATCCTATGATTAGCTTTGTTACACCAAACAATGGACATGGGGATAAGGGGAGACATGTGAGTACCACATGTTTTTAAATCCCTATCCATCTTATTAATCTAGCAAACAGACTAGCCTGAAAGAGGTTAAGTCTAATTTGCAAATTTTCTAAACAATAATGAGAGGGTCCGCCTGTGAGCATATTACGTTTCATGTATATATGGTAGCTTATATATTTTGTATATATTAGGGTTTTTGTTTCCTTTTTCAGTTTTAGGGTTAGCTTGCTATATAAACCAATGTATTCTTCTGTTTTATATACAATTGAATATACAGTTTCATTAAGTAAACTTATATGGTATCAGAGCAAGGTTTGAAACCCTAGCCTCCCTCAAATCTTTTCTGGTTCGTTTGAGTTCTTTGGTTCTTCTTTTTTGAATTTGTGCAACCCATTTGAGCTTGAATCGCAACCTATCAAGTTGCGAATCATCTGAGTTCAAATTACACTCCCAAGATCACAATTTTCTGGTTCGTTTGCTTCAACCGTCTCTCTGGTTTGTATGGTCATTCAGTCGTCTTCAGTCATTTGCTTCGACCCTCTTTGGTTTGTTGTTCATCCTGGACCTCGCGACATATATCTCTTTCTCTTGTCCATCGTTGGTTGCCTCCGACGTGGATGGGTTCATCACCTGTTCGTGATTGCTGATCTTCAATCATTGGTTCCATTCGTAGGTCATCGTTTGCGCAGTCGCCTCTTACGCCGAAGGGTTTGACCAAAGTGACTCGCCTCTTCTCTCAGTTCGACCCATTGGGATCTCTGTTTCACTAGTTTGGAACTTGATTCAGGTTTGATTGTATCTGACCCACTGTGTATATTTGTCCCATTTTGTACTATTTGCTTGGGTGTTCTGAAATATCTCTTATTACAGTTTGACCATGTTTTGGATTTTCTTCTTTATTACGTTTTGGCCATAGTTTCTATCTCTGGTTTTGGTTGGACCCATTTGATTTCCAATATTATGAGTGTATTCGTAAACAAGAAGGGGCCATTGGCATTAGATGAGTGTGCCTTCTACCATCAGAGGAGCCATTGGAAGTATCAATGTCCCAAGTAGGGATGTATGTCTGGCTCGTCTTCTCAGTGGTTTCGGACCTAGTTTTACCCTTCTTCTCCAAGTAATTTTCAGGCTCCCGCCGGTTCTACTGTATTTGCTCCAGCTCTTGATCCTGACTTGGCTTCCTTAAGTGCTTAGATTAATCAATTTCAGTATACACTGTCTACCTCCTAGCCATTTCCGTCTACCTCCATTGTTTCCTCTTCTCATTCAGGTTTGTTTGGGACTTTTTCAGGTATCTCTTCGTTGTCTGAATTTTTGACTCTGGTGCCTCTCATCATATGACTCTCCATCTTTTCTTACTTCAAAATTGTACTCCCCCTCCCTCTCCTATTACTGTTAATGCTGCTAATAGGTCTAGTATATCTATTATATCTATTAGGTCTATCTTACCGTCTGCTATGTCTGTTGTCTCTATTCCATCTGTCCTTTACGTTCCTTAATTATCTGTCAATTTATTATCTATCAGTTAACTTGATGCCTCCGGTTTTGATGTTA